TGGCCACCGCAAGTCATCGCGATTGAGTCCGGTACCGCTCCGTGGGGGAGGAGGGCTCGGTTGACCGGGGCGAATATCGATTAGAACCATGGGTGTCTGAAAGCGCACCACATGCCACTACAGCACCTTCGTATGTAATTATGAATGTTTTGAAGCTATTTAGAATATTTTTCATGGCCACTGACTAACATTGTTTTGTTTCAGCGCCGAGAAGAATTCAACGATAATCTTTCCATTCCCAATTGAGCTTATTCATAACTTTTTCCAAAAATCGGGAAAAGAAATTTGAGTTTCACTCACGGGACTCTCTTTCACCACGAAAACACTTCACACAACACATGAACTGACTCAACTGACTTGGACGTACACACAATGACCAATATCTGCCTTTTCTGGAAAGCGACCGTCAAAGATGATCTGAATGTTGAGCATATCACATATACAAAGTAAAGTTGATGTCTATAAAAGCACAATAAATGTCTTTTTTTCATTATTTGCTTCATTTTCGCACTCTGGTGTCATCATGTCGATTTCCTTCCAGTGAGAGATGTTCATCTTCCGTTCTATTTCTAAGTTGTTTCCATTTTTTATAGTCATATTTTTGTCAATTTCCGATTATTTCGATTTAACGCCATTTTCGAAAGTGAATATTTATCGGCGTAAACTGGTTTATTGGCTTCGATCTGTGACATTTATTTCCAATGAGAATGATTATTGTATATAAAAGTGTCAATGTATGTCATGGCAATGTACGTGAGGGACGTTTACATCATATCTATTTTCTTACACGCAAAATTTTGGCCGAGCGTAGCCGTGGGATTCCAAGCTTTGAAACTTTTCTGGCTTTCTTTCTGAGCTCTCGGGTCCTTCAACATAGTGAAAAACTAAGGTGACGCGTGAATCCTAAATGGGTTGGCCAGAATTTCGAAAATAGAAGCAACCCAGGCATAGTGCAACTGCAAATTACATAGGCCCTTGACAGAGTGAGGGATGGGAGTAACTTCTCACACCCTTCAAAGGCGTTTGTAATCAAAGTGAATACTTAAGGACAATGATGTCAAAAAAACCTGTAACTAAGGTGGTTTGTAAGAGGATTGTGGTGTTTCACTGATAGCAACCCTGAGCGGACAAAAAACCCAAATATAGCGACTCACTTTTCTTAAATTAATCAACGGGGGAGGTGGTATAGCGACAAGTGGTGCACTACTACACACGCATGGTTCGCGGATCGAGCTTCGGGTCGATGCCCACCGAACTCCCAGCCTTCCATACTTCGAGGTCGATTAATTGATATTAGACTGGTCTGGGAGGGTAGAAGCTTAGATTTGCAGATGCTGGCCACAGCAAGTAGCGCCACCCCATTCTTGAATGGAAGTATAATAGATTGTTGAGGGCATCCCAAAAACTGTTTTTTAGCGCTGAAAAGTTCATTCACTCTAAGATAAATATTCAACGAATAAATAATAGCAGGAGTTGCCTGAAAGCCGAAGGCTTGCAGCTTCATTTGGTTCTGGAAGCCTAGAGGTACAGCATGAAAAAAGTGTTACCCAATATTACCAACTGGGATGAACCTGTGCCCTCCAATTGGGCTCTATGGGATGCCGTAGGGTCAGAAAACGGAGCAGATAGGGCGCGATAGGGCCTTGAAGACGGGCTGGGCCGTCATACACACCCAAAAGTGGACGAGTTTCAGTGGCGTTGTATGGGCTGCATCATTCAAGGGAACAACTGTGGCGGCACTGGATCAGCACTCCCCTGCAACGGCTAACATCTCGTCATAACCACTGAGGTTTCTCGTATTTCACTACAGTGAATCAGAAACGGAGCTCCTGGGGATGTAGCATATTCCTCATCACAATCAGACATGAGGATTTTCTCCAGGCTCTGCACCATATTCATGATTAGAATCAGTCGCGGCATCATAATTGACGCCAAACAGAGGCTCAACAGGGTGATACTATCTAGCTCGCGCTATTTGATGACCGTTACTAGGGACGACAACAGTCAACTAATATTAGCAACATACGGAGGGAAGCCATAGGAATGAAGACCACCGGCAAAAGAAGCAAACTGAAAATCTGATTTCGAATACTGTAGAATAGAGGTCTGCTTTATTCATACACACCAGACCAAGTCTATTCATTTGTACCTTGGAGGCCGAAAGGGTGTACGATGGCCAGATCCTTAGTGGACGAAACAAAAGAAAGAAGCCTTGAGGGCACAGTTTATGGTAAGTTTGAGGTAACTATTTCAGTAGAATCAAGGAAGTGATGATGAAGGATAGTAAATCGGTGGCGGAGAAAGACATTGAAAAACAGACAAAAAACATTGAATTTCGAAAGTATAACGCTTTGAAAAAGTAGTAAGAGTAAGAGGTTGTACGACGACACAAGCTTGGATTGCGATGGACTGCTTTAATAGTCCACGATTTGGCCCGCTACCGGTCGTTCAACCAGTCGCGTGACCGGTCGCGGGCCTAGTCGTGGACTGTTAAAGTAGCCATTGCGTAATGGCTGGCTGTAGTAAGCAGAAAAAGGTCAAAGATCGCTTCTTTCTTACACCATGCATTCAAAATTTCCAGAATTTCATGTTGATATTCTCCGCTAACCACAGTTCGATGAAGGAGGAACCGAATTCGTAGCACATCGAGGAAACCACATCTTCCTTCAGCTTGGGCGTTCCATGTACGTGGTCAACGATTGGGAGGAAAATCCAGAAAGACGGCCTCGTTCCTCTGATGTAGTGACCAACCATCTGGCTGATCCTAAACTTCATAGGCACTTGTTTGATTTTACAATTCCGCCTGCTCCTGCCACGCGGCGGAGACATGGGTGACCAGGGGTCCGAACCAGGGACCTTGACTCCATAGAGCAGTCGAACCAGGCCTTTTGAGGTTCATCGATCCGCCCAGTGCGCTGGACTCTGCAGCTCTGAATGACTCTGACAGAACATCCCGTCTCCGTGATCCCACGGACTACATGACAAAGCGAAGCTACCGGTGGACTGGTTGTATCATAGGTAGTTTTAACAACTGATGGACAAGAAAAGCGGTAGAGTGGACTCCCGTAGGATCTCCGTGGTCCCTAAGGGAAAGACTCGCTGAAGGGGATATGCACTCGTCCATCACATGAAGCTCCCGCGAATGCAGATGAGGAAGTTTCCAGATCTCCGACATGGATTTCGATTGCTTAAGAAGGAAACGAATGGTGTGTCGCTGGTGCTCGCAGGTGCAATGAGGACGAGCCATGTAGGTATGAATAAGTATTCTCCACTACTGTTGTCATTTTGTTTTGTTTTGTTGTTGTTATCATTATTCTTGTGTTGTAATACGTGCACACAGTGTTTTCTCCTCTCAGCTGTTCGAACTTTTAACATATCTGCTACATTGCGAAAGGACGTTATTACACTACCATCTCTGGGAGTTACATACAGTGGGGACAAAATTTTAGCCCCTATTGCGCCCCATCTAGACCGCTTGCCTACCCCACATTGCCCCATGCGCCATATGTAAGGCAGCAGATTACTCCCAGGGGGATGCCAGAACCCCTTCATTGTGGGCTGTGCATCAGGGACCTTGAAAATCTCGATCGGTGCAGAAAATTGAAACAAAAAAACTTATACATTTTCAGGACCCCACTTTGCCCTGTGGCCCCTGCTCATTGAACTTCATAAAGGGTAACACTCTGCAAAAGTAAGACGGACTACCATACGACGTCATTCGACATACAATTGGAGGGGCACTTCCTTTTAGAGTTCTTTTATACGTGTAAGTGCATATTAGAATACAAAAATTAATGTCTTTGAGCAAAGATTAGGATGCTTTACTAAAGAGTCGGAAACCGGGGATTTCGGCCAGGAGTTTCCATCAATGCCGCCGCCTCGAAATCAGGCCACCACCCGCGGCGACCTTGGGGTCTATTGGCCACTTTCTCCAAACGTATGTTCCAATGCGAAGGTTTCGAGGGTATTCACGATGGCCCCACAAAAGCGAACTTAAATGTTTCAGGGGCTCGTTTAATCGGCTCGCTGAGCGACAGAATCGTAGCGGCCTTTGATTGCGTACGTGGCATATTCAATGAGTCGATGACTTGCCGTAGCTAGGCGCTTTCTAATTCGAGGCTTTTATCGTTCCAAATGTCTCTTGTGCGTGGCGCTTACCTATTAACTGGCTCAGGAGGGATTTAGGGGTCCGTTTGGTCAAAATCAATCTGAAAGTCGTCTTCTGGACCGTGCATGTGATCGTGCGCCGCTTGGCACTATTCTATCTCCGCGTTTAAAATAAAAACTTACAATTATTTACATTGAAGCTGACTGGTACACCGATCGACTCTATATCCACTTTATATATCTGAAATCTCGTTGCAATCCAATAAAAATAAATGCATATGCATAAATGCGAACCTGGCAGTCCACCCAAATGTCGACGGCGTGGCGCACCCCAAAGAATTTCTCGAGGAAGGACGTCTTCTTCGAATTTTCAATGATACTTCTAGGATCGACATGATTTAGCAGGGGATTCACTCAAATAGATGATGGCCCACATCACTTCTAATTTGCATCTGAAATGGGATCACCAGACATCATAAGGCTACACCCTCGCTTATACGATTACTTGCATGGTCTTCGGAACCTCCCTCCTCAAACATCGTTCCGAATTTAGGATACCAGCCTACCTGGTACTGCTTTCAAAACTTCTGAACGCCTCTAGTAAGAAACAAAAACTACACCTTAGGTGCAAGTAGCGAAGCACCTTTATTGGTACGCTATCCTCAAATGACCTCTTTTAGAGCTGGCATATGTTGACCCAGTAACTTTGTGGTTCTAGTCTCGGCTATGGTAGTCAGTAGGGAGGAAACCGAGGTTACTAGTTGGGCTCAGATGTTGGGGGGTAATTGTAAGCCTTACGGAAAGTGTGGTAGGTCTAAAGTATGGGGAGACGGGCGGTAGGATCGGTTTTGCGCAATCAACTCGCCGCACGCGATTGTCGCAGACCTTTCGCTCCGCCGTTAACACAGTTCTAGCGTTCTTCATACAGCTCAATCGATGCATTTTAATATTAGTTCTGTTGTTCCTGTATTTCTTACCGGCTGCTGCGTGCTGCTACACCCCTTCGCGCGCGGCGTCTCCCTCGCCGCGACGCGACAGTTTCCATCCTACTGCACCACACCCTACAGTATGCGAGGATGAACACAACAATGAAACCTTTAGGATTCTATTTATCAACCACTCAACACACAATAAACTAATTAGACAAATGATTAGTGATATTTCTCTCCGAAGAAGATAATGTAGAGGAAACCGAAGTATGATGACAATAGAAAAGAAGTCGATTGTAAAGAGTAAAAGAAAAAAAGAAAGCATTATTCGGTCTACTTCATACCATATTACAGAGTACTGAAGAAATAGTAATAATTGACTTCTTTGGCGAGATCAGATCGTCTAGTTGCATGGGCAAGGCGTAGAGATTTCGTATTGGCAACAAAACACATGTAGTTCAAAATACAATTACAATCTCCCTGTCTTGTTTAGGTGTTTGTGTGTGGCTGGATGAGCGGCATGCATCAGTGGTCACGTGGGGGACAAAGATGCACGAACCCCGCCCACCACTGATTTGATTGGCAATGTTGCTCACAAGGCAGCGAGTTGTAGGGAGACGCGTGAGAACAATCAATAATATCGAAAATATTTAAAAAAATCAGAAACAAACATTATCCCTCTGAATATCGGAGTGAATAGAAATGGAAGCACATTCGAAGAACAAAATGATTCCTAGAAACGGGTTATACATACATAAACATTTAAGAGATTTGAGACGAGACTGACTGTCACACACTAAAACAAACTCTCAAATACACATTTCAACTGAAAACTGTACTCGACAACAAAATAATAAAAAAAAATGAACTTAAACATAAATTTCATTCAGATTTGTCAGAAAGAACTTTGACTAGAAGAGACATGACACTATTTTTCTTCAGAAGGAGAAAAAAAATATTGGTAACAAACATATTCCTGAATTTTGCGATTACTTACAATGCCAAAAAAAATAATGTACAGAATGCACTAAACGATGAGGTGTGAGGTGCACGATTGCTGTGTGACTGACGATGGGAAGTAGGTGAGTGACTTACAACTAGAAATGGTAGTGATGCTTGTAGACAAATTGCTGGAGGGTTGGAATAAAATCCCTCTCACGAACGTGCCGGCCAGCTGCTGCTCTATCGATTCTATACGGAAACGGAATCTAAATGGGCACGAATGCTCTTCAGCTGATCAACAGCATCTTCCCGAAAACGAGTAACGTTGTTGTTCATGCCAGTAGTAAGCTGTACAAGTGTATATATAGAATTCAATGCCACTTCAAGTTGTTTCTCCAGACGACCAATACGTGTATCCATACCGGACAACATCTGAAACATGAAAAACTTAATGAAAAACTCTAAACTCCGAAAAAAACAACGAAAACTGGGTTCTTCTCAATAATGCCGCGGCTGCGGCGCGACATTATCGATCAATGACTGCCTATACAGCCATCGCAACGCGCCGCTGGCGCACCCGTCTTTACAGGGGCTCACTCCACTGTGGAATGACCGTAACAACAGTTTCAATTCTGACTAGTAGGAAACTCAACCGACACATTTAGCACCGGAAATCACAGGAAAACATGAAGCGACTGTTTCGAATTACCACGCAAGGCTCTCGAAAGGATGCAAATGAGAGGAATGAGGTTAGTACAGAGAATTCTTATGGATTCTTATTCAAATTCAAATTCTTAGTAAGTGAAGGTTTTGATGAGGAGTATTTGAGGTTTTTAAACTCACGACATTCCCCTTTCCAACAGTAACTTCAAAAAACTACCTGTACAAAGTTTGGATTAGCCATCCTACACGAACAAATGCACCAATGCCTTAGTCGACTGGGGGAGCACTGGGTTCCTACATAGCCTTGAGCCGTACTGATTGGATGTATGGCTAGAAGTCAAATGACTCCTCCCGGAAGGTTCAGAACTCAGGCTAGAGTTTCAGAGAACTTTAACTCAATGATCTCTGATATCTACAGAAATTTGATAACTTAGTAATCCCTCTTTAAACTGGTTTTATTTTTTCCAGCTCTAAGACAGGCTTTTGACCGCATTGGAATTGTTCTTAACATTTGTAGTCGGCATTTATACTTGTATTTGTCATGGAATAATTTAGCAGTAATGGGAAATTACCCAGCATCAAAAACCTACTTGTTCCATGCTGTCAGTGTTTATTGCTCGGAGTCGAACGAGGAAGAAAAAGTGCGGATTCAAAAGTTTCACGGAAAAGTATGAGGGCAGATGGAGGGCTAAATTTCGTCCTTTTTCAGAAGTGGTGTTGAGGGAGTGTAGGCAGATACGGAGCACAACGGTCTCAGGCCCTTACCATCGAAGATAAATTGAAGACATATGAAGGGAAGATTGCGAGACAACTAATCCTTTTGATGTGGCAGGCTTATGCATTAAGAGGCGTGTCCCCGAGCAATCTAGAGTCTCCCACTCTGAGAGGGTACTCATCAAGAACGAAGGCGTGCGTTCACGTGAATAGCAGGATACTTGGAGATCTTCCAAGTAGTAATTGAAGAGTATAGGCCGGAAGTATTCGAATGGGGCAGATATTACCAAAACACTACAGTAGGCACATTATACATTTACAAAAAAGGTCCCTAAGAGCTTGAGTGGAGGATTTTGAAGCTCTTGCAGACCCTTGGAGCAGCACATTTATTCGTACCTATACTAAAACCGCAGTTTACCTATGATCCGATGGGAAGAGTTCCTTGAATTAGGTTAACTCATTGAGGTCTTACATGTTCATAATACTTCTGCAGATTTTGTTTATGAAAACATCCATGCTGATGAAGAAGTGTTTATGACCACAATGGTATGAGAAGAGCAAAAACCTTAGCCGTGAGATCTATGCAGAATAATAAAAGCAGAATATACGTCTCAGGGCCTGTAAATGGATTTTATGACAATAGAAGCAGTAGAAGCATCAGACAACTCAAATGAAGGGGTAAGGTGACAGATCTGATTAGCTAAAGCGCGCGGTGACTAGTTGCCTCGCCGCTATGCCCCTAAATTAGATAGTTGACCCGATAATAGGCATGCTATTCGGGACTGCTGACTCCCATTCATTATGACAACTAAGCTAAGGTTATATTCTTGATCTCTGAGCATGAATAAATGATATTATCTTCCCTCCCTATCCTGATCTGATGTTCATCATATAATCAATGGATATGATAAAAAAAACCCTGTAACCATGGGTCCACTCATTCAACGCGGCTTCGTCACCCACAAGGTCTCTAGTGGGGTACTACTCACGCACGGCATAGGGGAAATCTCAGCCATTAATTGGCCCTGTAATTACTCCGTGATTGACCGCGATGCCCTTCAGAAGCTTCGGCGTCGCGTGCATGCCTGTTTGATGTTCGACCCGCCGGAGGAAATGCAGAGGAAAAAGGCTTATCTGTCCCGAAGCGATGAATGCGATAGGGCACCTTTGTCGGAGAAGACGTTAATTCTAAAACAGTATGCAGTGAAGTAAGCACAGCACGCATGCGCACCTACCAGGCTGTAGGCGAAGGTTTTGGAACCTATGTAAGATATTTCGGAAAATGGACGAGTTAAACTTATTCTTCGGGGCATGAAGATGTCATGGTTGGTGGGTGAAGATAAGAGATTAGGCCTTTGACATTGATGGAACCCGTTCGTGGGATGCCCACCGCATTCGACTTCCATTCAGAGCCGTAGTGGCGTATTGAATGTGTATGGGGCCCAGCCAGCCGATGTAGTAAGTCAGTGCTTTTACCCTTCCAGAGCAGTCTGGTAGTAATCAATGGGGGGAAAGGGGGATGGAAGTCGCTCCAGGATCCGATCCCGGACGACACGTGTGTGTCGTGCGCCACTCGACACTACACAATCTTCGTCATCACAGGGCTACTTCAAACAGGATAAAGAAGGAAGAATTCAGAAGCGGAGAGCGACTGGCTCTTATGGCTGACTTTAGCTCAAGCGAGAAGAAATGAAGTAATGAAGTGAGCAAGAGTAAAAGGAGTACTTCTTAAAAAGTAGTAAATTTGGTGAGAAAAAAGGGTCAAATTGTCAAACTATTGAGTGAAAAACATGTGAAACAAGTCTATACCAGCGAGGGACTGTTGAGACTCAACAAAATCATTACTTTTGACTATTAACTATATTTTTCCCCCTTTTGAAAAAGCAAGTGAAACAATATAGAAAGCGATTGATCAATGAGCTCTACTGTGAATGATCAAGTGGTTCGGAGTAGTCTCTACAATGGCTGGCCACCCCAAATCATTGCCTAGTCCATGTGCATTCAAAACGCATCTTGAATTGTGAATGGAGGTCGAGTGCGGGGCGCACTCCAAAACACAACAGATAAATGTCCAAGAAGTTATTCTTAATTTTTTGTTCCGTGAGGATATTTCAGTACATGACTATCGAGTTAATAGACGTATTTTCCCCCGTTCTTTCAGCTTGGCCCTCTAAAGTTGCACCCTCCTCATTTTTTAGGTATTCTATGAATGTAAGAAGAGAAGGCTCATATTTCAAGCCTGAAATATTGAAGGGGAGGGTGCAATGATGTTGCGGAAGTGCCTTTTCACCTAACTTAGGCTTGTTTCTATTTTGATGAAGAGTGACCGTGAATCATTGCGAGAACTTTATCAAATTTCCGATTTCCGATTACCAAAATAGAAGTGATAGCTGAAAGGACAAAAAAATGAGGGCTATTTCATTTGTGAACCATCACTACTTACTCTCTTATACTCCACTTAATCAGTGGATTTCCGATTTCCGAGGTGTCCTCCGAGTCTCATGGAATGGAGCCAAATTTCACATTGGAACTACTTCTTTATTAACTCAAACGCTCATCGTGGCTTCGATTCCCACGAACTTCTATTAATAAATGATACATGTTATTACTTCCTTCCTAACTACCTACCTTGACGCCTTCCGTAATTAGAAGTTGTCGGAAAACACAATGTTCTCTAGACATTCTTAAAAAATCCCGTCACAAAATTTCAATCTCAGATTATCTCAGAATTTCTAGTGAAAGAAATAGCAAAGATAGGAGAGAAATGGATGATCTGGCTTATCCCACCGTCCATCATAATAAAAGTATAACTACTTGTTTCCAAGAAATGCATGGATGTACATACATCACCCTAAGAAGTGAGTGGAAATCAGAGTGGTAGAACCGAGTCTGTTCTGCTCTTCTGCGGAAGCAAAATATCACCAATTTCTATCAAAAAAAAAGGGGTCCATGTGAGCCTGGTGTGACCGACAAAAAATGCTGAAAAAGAGTAATAAAGAAACGAAAGATAAGTCAGCTCGGCACAGGATTGCCTCGAAGCTATCATTGAGACAAAATTTGGAAATCGCAGAGCAACAGGAAGACCAACTGGCAAAGATCTAAGACGTAGCAGTAACGATTAGAAAATTGAAACTTCATCATGAAAACCTAACCACGTCGGTCCAAATTATTCAGTTATTATTTTTCTCGGAGGAAGATTATCACCGATTGGTAAGGTTCCCACTCAATGGGCTCAGAAAATCTCGACATTCTTTATTCGCAACACTTTCCTGCCCACCCACACAAAAAGGGCTTATAAAAAGTTCAGTACAGTAAAGGTCTAAATGTTCCTTCGTGCATTCTATAAGAATCGATTAGTATTTAGGAAGGCAATTTCGAGTCCTTAAAATATCCCTATCTGGCTAGCGAACTATTATTGAAAATAAAACAGCCGTGCTTCCCAACCTTAGCATCTTGATAACAGCTGATAACTGGTGATTTTCGGATAGGACAGCAAATGACCCACTAAAAAGCTGCAGGAACTCAAAACAAGTATTTGTGACTATCAGAAGACAAGAAAACGAAAAATCGGAATCCGAAAATCGAACGATAGCAGTTTCGGGTGGGATCGGAAATAGGGAAATGAAAAATGAGGCCTAACAATTCATTAAGTCAAGAACCCTCCCCCACATTCGAAAAATGCGTAGAGGTTTCAAAAAGAAAAATCAGAATGAGAAATTGAAAAGCAAAATAGTGAGTAAATACTCAAAAACTCTTCAGTTGAAAGGTCTACATGTGCGCCGGAAATCGGAAATCAAACAAAAGGAAGCTCATCGTTTTTTTTTTCTCGTTAGGATCATATTTGAAAACAGGAACTTGGGGAGGAAGGAAGGAAGGAAGGAAGGAAATAAGAAAGGAAAGAAAGAAGAGTGAATGATTTGAAGAGTTAATGCGAAAAGATTACTTCCTCTCGAGCTATCAACTACTATGGCTGGCAGTTCTTTGATGCCTAACTAATAAAGAGCGTGATTGCATGTGAAATGTTCAGTGAGCAATAATTGCATCGAAAAACTTAATAAATAATGTGAACGCTTTGCTTTACTACGTAGTATTACTTCGTAGTAACTGACTTCAATCTGATAAATGATTCAGGAAAGATAATTAAGGATAACATAATTTCATTGGAATGTTGGTCCCCGGAGACTTCACACAATGACAAATGATAGCCTACCTAATTACTACCCTCATATTTAGCTTGAAAGGTGCGTGAGAAAGTAAATAATTACTGATAAAAAATTAATTATCTGCAAAAATATAAAATCAAATTCATCAAGGAAGTATCCACGGCGAATCATTCAAATCTACAACCTTTTTACAAAAGGAAGCAGTCTGGTAACGACCCGGGCAAAAGTAACTAAGTACAGTGCCATTTTGTTAAATGCTAATAAGTGTCATTAAGTTTACTGAGTCATACTGGATAATTCTAACCAGTAATTCAAGTAGGGCTGTAACTGCCGCTACCATCTGGTGGTCAATAGATCGAATCCCACCTAGCCCTTTTGTTCCCAGGAATGACTCCGTTGAGGTCAGGCACAGCTGAAAGGGCGAAACGCTGAATAAAACAGTAGCAAGTTACA